TTTTGTTCCTAGATGAACCCATCAAATATTCATTAATGATAAAGGAGAATGTTATTGTTCTCTTTAAAGATTTTGGATTCAAGAAACTATGTATAGATGATGTTGTCAATTTATTAAGAAAAATCTACATAGATACTATTTTTAGTCACCTTTTTATATTGATAATATTTAAAGTTAAAAACGATTATCATTTTATTTATTTTATTGGGTAAATAACCGGTTTAAAATGTTAGGATTCATATGTTACATTTTAATTTAATAAGAAAATCTCAGGTGTTTTTAAGTTAACGGTTGGTTGGTGTTCAACTCATTAAGTGAATTTAAAGATAAAAGAGAATGTTAGTCTTTTTAGAGGTCTTAGGTTTGAGCAGTTGCGTTTTTAAAGTGTGTGTGTTGTTAATGAATTAAGAAAATTCTGGACATATATTATCTTGTAAACGTTCCAAACTATTAAAAATGATTAATCAGTGTTTATATAATATTAAGTTTTAATGAATTGAGATCGTAAGTAGGATGATAAAAGTTGTGTATAACAATGTGTTCAAATCTTGAGTAATTATTTCTGTAAAATCCTAATACTACACATAAATTTTAGTAAAATATGTAATATATCATATATAAACTTCAATTTTATGTATTTTTATACATTGACTTTTGATTTGATTAAATTTTTCAAAAAACACTAATAATTTTATCAATGTATCATCTCAAGTTTACATATTGCACACACAATAATTATACTCATTCAATATTAAAATAAATAAATATATTTAATATCTTAAAATTGTTTAATTGAATTAAACTCAAATTTTCAACCTTAATATATCAAATTAACATTAGATCAAAATTTATGCATAAATATTTATCTATATTATTGAATTAAATGTCAGTTGACTTGTGACACACGAGCTCAATAATAACTTTCGTATTTGAAATAATTTTTTTAACAGTTAGTTATAATGATACAAATAATATTTTTTCAGTTTATACGATAGAAACATCAAATGAAATGTATACATTTATTTTTAACAAATACAAGGGTAAAATTATTATAATATGTTAATTGAATGGTATTTGAGTTACTTAATTTTTTTTCATAAAAAATTAATATGAACCGTTTTTTTATTCAATATAGTCTTTAAATTAAGAAGAAGAAAATCAAATTGACATTTGATCAAAGAATCAAATGTTATATGTGCTAACATGACAATTCACGACACTAGTGTGACAGCCCACGATATTGACATGATGATTAATGATTTAACGCATTAATTTATGATGTTAATGGAAAATTCACAGTGGTTGATGTATCCTCAAACGTTTCTAAAAAAGCAAATGTAACTCCTGTTTTTTTTTTTTTTAATTTTGCACTCAATATGACCTTAAATTGAGGAAAAAACTAAATTGGCCTTTTGACAAACAGAATCAAATGTTGACCATTACGGTGCTGATGTATCAGTTCACAATGCGGGCATTTGATTCCGTTAGTTAAATAGTCAAATTATTTTTTCTTAGTTTAATGGTCATATAGAATGTGAAAAAAATTTAGGGGTCACATTGATCTTTTAGAAAAAAAGTTTGAGGGCGTAAGATATCATTAATCCTAAATTTTTAATGAACGGGCCTAGAAACAAAAAGTCCCATCAATGGAGGTTTTTGGGCAATCGGGTACTCTATGAATAGCCCTGGCCTCCGCAACCAATTCTCTTCTACTTAATACAATTATTTTTTTATAAAAAAAATCACACACACATATATATATATATATATGTTTTAATTTCGTTTAATTTCCCTCTTTTGTTAACCATCAAACCAAAGTTTTGTTTCTTTTCTCCAATCCATTTACCTCCCAGTTCAATCCCCAAAGCCCTTAAAGAACTCCCATGGGTTTAGGGTAGGTTAAGTTGTTCTGGGTTTTCTTCGATTTGCAGAAAGAGAGAAATATGGGTCACTCTAGCTTCCAAGGTATTCAATTTCACATGTATTTATCGTTTCTTTAACTTAAAATCCCCTTTCTTGGATTGAATTGCAAAGCCTCTTTTGTTGTTTTTCGTTGGAGCAGACGAAGACGACAATGAAGAAGAATAAGGGAGTAAGCTGGTGGGAGTAATCGGCTTCTGGGTTTTATGTTTGGGAATGTCGATAACTCTGGTGATCTTGATGCTGATTATCTTGATGAGGTACGTTTTCGACAATAATTTATCCCATTTTCTTCTTGGAGCTTAAATTCTTGGTAATTTAGGCGTGAACCTAACGAGAACATTTCTATACTATCGTTGGTGTTTATGTAAACCGTTCAAAGCTCGCTATTTTCTTACTTTGCATGTAAAGAACTCGGTGGAATCTCAAGTTCTTGATGGGCTTGGGATGTGTAACACTTCGCCTTTTGGTGGAGCTGGTTTTGGATGAGGGCATAGGGTAAATTGAAGCTGGTGTGAGGAAGGAAAGTGTAATACTTTACTTTTGCGGGAAAGTATTTTGAATCTACATAAGTTTAGTGTTCTAGGAGAAATTATGGTTTAGGCTTATATTAACTTGGATTTTGCACCTCAAGAGTGGTGGAACAGAAGCATCTTGATGCTGCCGTGAATTATTTCTAGTTGAGTTCAGAATAAAGTACTTGTTGTTTGGAAGAGACCATTTGATTTGAAGAATTGCTAAATGTAATTTAAATACAGAGAATAACCAATCACACAATTACATGTTTTTTTAAGACTCATTTGTTCCTGAAACTCACATCAAATTCTACTCTACTAAGTTCGAGTCATGTATAATGAAATTCTTACAAGTTTGGAGAAATAAACTTGCCAATCTTTGTTAGTTCCATCATGAGACTCAAGCCATATAAAACAAATCCTACAGGAAAGAAGATTTGATAACTAAATTAGGGTCAAAATAAGGCCAGTGAACCCATGAAAATCAAAAGCACTCATTTGGACCTGAAGGAGTTTGCTGCTCTTGAAGGACCCCATGATTTCTCCTCATATTTCTTCCGGAACTTGAAAAACCCTTGCGGGGGATAACATTCTAATTTGACTCGCACTATCTATTTAAGCTGTTAGTTTGGTGCTTTGCTTAACTACTTCAGTAAAGATGACAAATTTTATCTCTTCCAGAATGTAAAGGAACATCATGCAGCTGTAGCAGACAAGTTGGGTCCATCTCTTACGGATATAGATGTAAGCTGTTCTGTTATGTGTTCTCTCGGTTCTCTCTTCCCCGCTAAATTACTGATTCATAATAAACAAATCTAATGCAGGCTATCTTCTCTGGTGTTTTATATTTATTTTTAAGTGGGGGCTTGTTTTGCTAATGACACTGTTTGATTATCAGTTGTCAGATAAATCACCACACACTCCAGCTGATGCTGCTGACCAAGCTGATGGTGCAGAGTATGTCCCTCCAACAAAGTGACATAGAGGGGGAAAGGTAATGGCGATTTTCCTTCATTGCTTTCATTTGCCATGGTTGATATTTTCATTTTTTTTCTTGTAAAATTTCATTGAAAAGGAAAATGTCAGTTGTATTATTGTGCGACAGAACACAAGTTTTAAATAGGTTGTCTTTACATAAACTAGAATCCTAAGACTACTAGGTTTTTAGTTTTCTAAGATTCTATCTCCTAAGAGAGTTCTAATTAAAATAACTTGTTCTAAAAACATTAGAGAAAAGAAAACATCTAGAGGCTGTCCATAGGGTGTTGAGATACTTGAAGGGAACCCCGGGTAGGGCCTATACTTCAAGAAAACAAATAACCGATATGTAGACATCTACACAGATGCTGATTGGGCAGGTTCGGTGAATGATAGAAGGTCTACAAGCGGTTACTGCAGTTACGTGTGGGGTAACCTTGTGACGTGGAGAAGTAAAAAACAATCTGTTGGTAGCCCGCAGTAGTGCTGAAGTTGAATATCGAGCTGTGTCACATGGTATATGCGAGGGAATTTGGATACAACGACTAATGATCGTACCATGATCGTACCAAACATGTAGAAATAGATCGCCATTTTATCAAAGAAAATATTGAATCAGGGGAAGTATGCATAACCTACCTACCAACTAAACAACAAATTGCAGACTTGTTTACCAAGAGCCTAAACAAGAACATGTTTGAAGATCTCACTAGCAAGCTGGGTTTGATGAACATCTATACACCAGCTTGAGGGGTAGTGTTGGAATTCCTAGAATCAAGGAACAATATCTTTTTTTCTTAATTCTAGGAGTTTGCCATATGTAAATAGTCAACTAATCTAATTCCCTGATCTTAGGAATTATTTCCTAACTTAGAGTAGTTCTTCCTTATAAATTGTAATTTACGTTTAGAGCAATATAGTAAGAATTTCATTTCTTCTCACATTTGTTCAGAAGGCATGCGAAATGAGGGTGACCAAGGTGAAAATGCCATAACATGTCTTCTCCCAAAAGTGTTCAGGTACAAGATTGGTGAACACGAGTGATATAACTATTTCCAGTAGGTGTATTTTTCTCTCTCGTCTATCCTATCTGCTGATGCGTATTAACATAATAACTCATATGAATAATCCCTTTTTCTTTGAAATAAGAACCCAAGGTTTATGAAAATTACTGAGTTCCATTATATGTTTTGAGAATCTGGATCTTGCTTTTGAATTTGGTATGAACCATGGAATGAAAGGATTTGAAGATTTCCCCGAATTTGGATTTTTCTTCTATGAGGAATGTCCATGTTGTTCTAGTGTGGTCACCTATGAAGGATATGAACCAACTAGTCTCATTAAGATTTTTCACACGTGAAGGTCCCCAAATTTCACCATGAGTTATAGAGAATGGATGTGAAAGTTTATATTGGATGCTAGGATAGACATGTCGTGTGTGTTTTGCAAGTTGACATATCTGACAATGAAAGAGCTTAGAACTTTCTTTGATGAATAGGTGAGGAAACAATTTTTCATGGTATGCACAATTTTTGTGACCAAGGCAAAAATGCATAACATGTCGATTTGAAATAAAATTATAATTAGAAGAGGACTTGAGTGAACAAATTTCGAAACACAACTTGAGTGAACTTGTCCTTGTAGAGGAGAGTTCCCTTTGAGCAAATAGAGGCTACCAGATATCTCAACACTGCTAATCACCTTCCCAAATATTGTCTGGTTGATTAAAGTTTAGTCACAGTTCAATTCACGAGTGAGTTTACTAATGAAAATCAGATTACAATCTAATTTTGAAACTTAAAGAACAAATCGAGAAGGTCCTTCTCTCAATTTGATTGATCCGATTCCTTCTCTTCTTGAGAGTGATCCATATGCTATTCGGACTGGAGAGGCTTGATTGTGGGTTGAACTTGTGAAAAATATTAGTCTCCAATGATGTGATCTGAGGTTCTAAAATCAACTATCCAAGGCTTTACTTTGCTGGTTTTTGCAATATTTACAACATAAAAATTACTTTGATTTGCCAGCGTGTGGGTGTGTTGTTCGGTGGAGGTTGTCATCTACTCAAGTAGTTTCTGCAATGTTTCAATTTGCTCCGTTCAGTGCTGGTGTTGGAGGCATTACCGAATTTGCATGGCTTCTCTAACTTACCATGTTCAGCTAGGTCTCCAATCAATAGGTTTTTCATGTAGTTTCCAGCTTCACTCTCTCTCAAGTGGCCAGGTTTCTTGCAATGTTCACACCATGACATCCCTTTTATTTGCTTGTTATCCTAAGATGAGTTGTGCGTGTCAGGGATTTAAATAGCGGTCCGGTTGCGGTGTCCTCTGCAACCGTTATTATATGACCACGACACCCGCGACCGTGATATAGCAGTAGCGGTAGCAGTGTCCTCCGCGACCGTTATTATATGACCGCGCATAGCGGTAAATGCGAGGCGACCATTATTATATGACCACACATAGCGGTAAATGCGAGGAGACCGAAAATGGACTGTGACCCCAATTTGAATCCCTTGTGCTTGTACGAGGCTAAACCTTCAGCAACTGTGGAATTGACGTTTTCTGTCATCATCAATTTCTTCCTTCTTTCTTCTCTTCTAACTTCAACAAATACCTCTAGGATGGAAGGCAAAGGTTTGTTGTCTTCTATCCTTTCATCCAAATCTTTATTGAGACCAAGAGAAATTTGAATGTTCTCTTTTGGGGACTTTTATGCAGGGGTGCATCATCAGGAAATTTCCAGGGATGTATTTCAAACATATCAAGTTGCTGCAAATACCTGGTGATTGTGTTCTAATATTGAGTGATAGTCATCTATCTTTGTTGAAAACCATGAAGTTGAGTCTCGATCTCAAAGAGTTCAAAGGTGTTTTCTGAGTTGAAGTAAATCTCTTTTGCGGCCTCCCAAATTTCCTTGATTGCTTTGTAGAGAGGAAAATTTTCTCCAATCTCCATGATCATTGAATTTGTGGTTTTCAATCTTCCGCATGCAATACTTAGGATCAACTGTTTCTGGGATAGAAACCTTCTCAGTGAGATCATCATCCTTGCCCCTACCAGCTATATACATAAGAAAAGATTGGGACCACTGAAGTTAATTTTGGCCATTGAATTTGTGACTTGTGATAGGTATGGGTTGGTTAATGAATTGTGCTTGAATCCGGAATTAACTTCCGAAGAGGTGTTGTGTCTCCATGCTATACTAGGGTTTAGAACCTAGCTCTCACACCATGTAGAAATTCGGTGAAAAGGAAAATTTCACTTGAATTATTTTGCGGCAGAGCACGCCTCTGAATACGTTGTGTGTTTAATAAACTAGAATCTTAAGACTACTAGGTTTCTTGTTTCCTAAGACTCTTATCTCCTAATAAATAGAGTTATAATTAAAATAAAACTTATCCTAAGAAACAGCAGAAAAGAAAACAACTCCTAATGAAACTTTAAATTAAAACAGGCAGGAAAGAGAGTCCTAATCGGCTTCTTTCTATATTTCTCTCTTGTACAACTCGTGTTGGTACCTGTGTCAACTCTGCTGGTATAATTGAAATTGAGTCTAGGCTCAGATGCTGATCATGGGGAATTATAATGGGAGTTTTGTTCTTTAAGGTTGCTTTAACTAAATCTCGTCATTATTTTTATATGCTTTATTTTGTGGCTTTGGTCCATGGATGTGTATAAAGTATGATGGACTATAAATTATTGAATTGGCATAATATCTTTATAATCGCAATGCTATTTTTATAAGGCAGATGATCTGAACCCAAAATATTATGATGGTTCATTTATTTATTTGATTTGAAAGGTAGATTCTATGAAATGTTGTAATACATATCTGAGCTTAACTCGATTGAACCCTAATAAGTGTAATAATTGATAGATAGTTTAGAAGGCTAGGTTCTAAATTTGATGCAAATTTGTTTTCATATGTTTGAATGGACACTGAAGATATTTACATTTGTCGATGAACTGTAAATCTCTCATTGTAGACAAAAGGGGGGGAAGGAAAGTTGTGTGAATTTGAAAAGTATTATGCATTTTGTGTGAATTTTCTGTATGTTATGTCTGTAACAAGATGAACAAGTATAGCCACATGCGATTTGTGGAAGATTGACATCTTTCATGATAAACGTTCTAATGAGATGTGCCCTGAGAAATTTTACTCATCTCATAAAAAAAGGAATATGAAATGAGAAGGCTATGAAGGAGTAAGATTATGTGATGAGAGATCTAAATAGTTTTTACTTAAGTTCGATGCATGTAAATCCGCTTCTTTATAAGCCTTTCCTGCTTAATGTATTCTTCAATTGATCGCCCTGCAGGTTGGTTTGTCCAACATCTTAGAGTGGATTGTTGAAACTCTAAGAGATAATACCGAAGTGTCCTATCTGTTCTTAAAACCAGTGTCCAAGGAGGCGCCCAACTACCTGAACATTGTAAAGCATCCAATGGATTTGTCCACAATAAGGAACAAGGTTAGGTTGATGGAATACAAAGATCGAGAAGACTTAGACATGATGTGTGGTAGATTGCCTACAATGCTCATATTTACAATGATGGTCGTAATCCTGGCATTCCTCCTTTCTCCGATCAGTTTTTGGAGCTCTGTGACTACTTGCTGCACGAGTATGCTCATAGCTTGGATGAAGCTGAAGCAGGTATAGGGAAATCTTAATCAGATCAAACTTTTGAAATCATTCATTTGAAAGCGAGAATTACCTTAGAGAAGAACTGCTGCTTCTCTAGGTTTTAGGGGTGTCCAGGTTTTGAAGAACCATGGCAATAGAGCTTTGAATATGTGTACTCAAAACCTCAGGTGCTTGAGTTGTTTCAGGCATCAAAAGAAACTAGTTCACATAGGTGGGTAAGAAAAAGGATGGTGATAACCTAGGTGATGTAGATGAACGGTAAGTGATGGTTTGGAGATGAAAGCTTGTTGAGAACCAGATCCTTGTTGGAACCGTAGGCATTCTCATAGCTGTTATCATGGCAGGCATTGAGAAGAATACATACTGTTGGCCAAGAGACGAAGCATTCCCGTCTAGAATATGAAGAACAGTCTCATAGCTGTTATCATGGCAGGCATTCTCGTAGGTAGGACTATAAATGAGATGAGATAAATCGTAAGTTATTCGAGATCGATTTGGTCAGAGCCTAGTTAACTCTCGAATCAAATGGACTCGACTCGAGTTTGGACTCGACTTGAGTTTGAATGACTCAAATTCTTAACGAGTTAAAATGTACTATTTGTTATCCGACTTGAAAAGCTTGCGAGCCATTCGAAAAAAAATAATATATTAAATTTTTAGGTTTTTAAAATTAATTTACTAGTAATATTAAAAATTTTATGTTCTTGTTTCAAAAGTGCAATATAAGGTTCTCATGTACTTAAGGTTCATGTTCGAACTTCAAATTGAGCTTTAATCGAGTTATGTATGAGAATGTTTTAAGGTTCTCGAGTTTTCAAACTCAAGTCGTGTTTTAATTTTTTATTTCGAGTTGAGTTTGAAAATTTTAAGTTCGCGAGCATGAGAGTCGAGTCAAGTCGAGACGAGTTTTAATTTTTTTATATTCAGTTCGAGTCAAGCTTGACAATTTCAATCTTATGAGTTTTCAAATCAAATCACGCTCAATTTTATATTTTTCGAGTTGAGTCGAGCTCAGCAATACTTGAACTCAACTCCGTTCATTTACAGCCCTGCTCGTAGGAGTCATGCTTGGAATGATGGTGGAGCCTCAGTGTGGCAAAAGATTAATGCTGCAGTAAATTCGGGTATTGTGTTATTCTAGAGGAGCTTTTATTGATGCTCTCGGTTCACAAGGTTCGGCTCCGTTGAAGAGCTCAGGCGTCAGATTGCCGCTTTCTTGGCCCATGCCAGCCATGAAACATGCATCTCTCAGCGTATAGTTCTATCTTTAGCGTGTATGCGCGTTGTCAATAGTTAACCTAATAATCACTCAGGCTTTTATAAAAACAATACTGAAACATATATCATACAAGATGACAAATTTAAAACAAAAATCTTACAAAAGTGCAACTAAAACATTCACGAGACAAGATAAAAACTCAACCAAAACTTATTCTTATGATCGAACAAATGTATGGGATTCGTTACATTATGAAATAACTTAACATTGAAAGTGAAGAATGCGAGCTTAAAATTAAGTCAAATACTAACTAACAAAAATAAATCAAAGAATCATGTTTATCATCATTTGCATTTGCGTCGTACAAATTCTTCCTAGCTAGTAAAGAAACTTGCATAATACATCTTAACCCAAAACTAAAAGAATGATCAACAAAAACAAATGTTGGCAGTGTCTATATATATTGCACTTTGTTCAACTTCCATGGGGAATGGCCTAGTGACCAGGTCCTCGAGGACTAGGTCCCAAAGCTAACCAATGGAGCCAACACGACATGGTGAACTTTGCCTTGTGGTAAACCGTTGAGTAAGTATCGATGGTGGCGAAATCTTCCAGTAAAACTCTGGCCACTTCGACCTGGCTCAACACTGCCATTGAGATGACAAAGATGATCAAAAGGGTACTTAGTTTTCTGCTATTCATCTTCCCAAACAGTAACCTTCAGACCAGAAAAAAGGCTACAAATCTTTGAAGATTATGTATTGAATATGCAGTAATTAAGAGATCCTTGATGTTGTGAATGAGGAAGAACTGGAACTGAATGGTTAATATATAGGGGAAAAAACAAGGGTTTACAAAATATAGTAAAAACAGCTGAAAATATCAAGCAAAGGAGATTGAGTTTTGAGTTTGAGGTTTTGTGTATGCTAAAAATTCCCGCTAGGAGATTCACCTACCAAAATCTAGTATGCGATGCAAGTCAATCTGGATTAGTCATGACAAAACCTAGAATCGGGAGAAAAAAAAAGAACAGCTGAAAATATCGAAATATTGAGGAAATGTGGACTTTTAACGTGTTGACCAAGAAATTGTAACAGCTCGTTGCTGCTGGGAAAGCAGAAACACTATGTTAATTGAACTTGTCAATGGATGCTACACTGTACATATGAAAATTACTGGTTTAACCTTTCTGTTTAATTGCTTGGGTTCAAGAACCGACGAAGGTTGCTTTTGTTATTTTGAGAGGAATGGAGATTCAGTTGAGTAATTTAATGGAGGTCCAAGAGTTTGAAATATTGAATTTGACCAAGATTTTGGCTTTCTGGTTGGTTGGTCTGCCTGTGCTTGATTGAGTAAGATGACAACAGCAACAAATTAGTGTGTGTTTATATATCGTATGAGAAGTGTTGAACATTACTAATACTATTTAATTGTTTAATTTTGACCGTTGAATCAATTCAGTTATTTTCAAATAATTAAATTGATAAAAGGGGTGTTTTACGAGATAGATTTTTTCATCCAATTATTTTTTTTTCAAAACTATATATCGTTTTGGTCACTCGGCGTTAAAAAAATAATAATAATGTTAACATTTCATCATAAGATAATGTTACGATATTATTAAAAAATAAAAGTTACCACATCAATAGTTCTGTTTATTTTTAACGATAGGTGACCAAAATGGAATCAAAATGTAACATTAGATATGATTTAAAAAAATAGTTCGGTGGCCAAAACAAAACTGCAAACATAAGTGGTGACTAAATATATAGTTTATCCTAAAAAATTCCGAGATTGAAAGATACTAATTAAATGAAATAACTCGGTTCAGTTTGATTAGTTAATTAGATTTAACCTAATAGCGAACCCTAATTAAACGTCTAACTCAAACTAGAGTTAGCAATAATTAAACTTTAGCTTTGAAGGGTTTGTAATATGTGTTATATGTTTATATTCATATTAACAAACTAGATGTTTAAAATAATTAGGGTAAATATATATTTTAGTACCTAAAATTTGTTTTAAAGTATAATTTGGTGTCTAAACTTTTTTTAATTAAATTAAATACTTGAACTTAACTTTAAGGTTTAATGCTATATTTGCAGCATAAAAAAGGGAAAAAACTAAGGGTTCATTCCTTTCACTGAAAACGTTTTTTAGAAAATATTTTTCGTAAAATGAATTACATTTTCTGAAAAAATATTTTCTTGAAAAACATTTTACGATATTTGTAAGATATTGTTTAAACCCCTTTTCCACTAGTTGATGATTTTTTTAAAATTTATTTAATACACATATTAAATACAATAAATAATATTATTCATCATAAAATTTAATATTATTATTTTGAAATATTAAAATAATTTATTTATTATTAAAATATTGTTTTTATAATTTTATTAATAAAAATATTAATATTGGTATATTTTATTGAAATAAAAATATTATAAATTATATTAATTATTTATTAAAGTAATAGTGTTATATTATATTTTAAAAATATTAATTAGTATATTTTAAATATCTTTATTAAAATATTATTATATTAATATTAATATTAATATTAATATTAAATATATAAATAATATTATTCATTATTAATAATTTAATAATATTATTTCTATGAAATTAATAAATAATATAAATTTATTAATAATTTAATTATATATTATTAAAATAAAAAATATAATATCTTATATTATTATAATATAGTTAATTATTTTATTATAATATTAAAAATATAATATTATATTATTAAAAAATACTTTGAATATTTTAATAATTAATATTTTGATTAAAATGATATTAAAATAATTTTTTAATATTAAATTCATAAAATAAAATTATTTTGAGTATTTATTCTTTGAAGTCAAAAGTTCAGAAATTGACTTACAGAAAATCAGACCATAAGTCATTTTCCATAAAATACAAATGAAATTCTGTTGACCAGAAAAATGTTTTACGTTGACCAACCAGTTTTCCTCCAACCAAACATTGAAAAATGAGTAAAGCATTTTCCAGAAAAACATTTTACATGAAACAAACAAACCCTAAGTAAAAATGGCATTTGAAAATGGGGTTTAGGGTTTTGAATGTGTCAGAAGCACGAGTTGTTTGGACACTTAATTCATACTGCATGCATGCAAGGACAGATGTAGGGTTTTGTACAGGGTGGATATTGAAATTCAATTTTTTTATGTTAGTAATTTATTTTATTGAATGTGTCTATCTTGAAATTTTATTTGTGTCCAGTTCATACGAAAAATTTATATTATTAGTACAAATGTACTCACTTTCAAAACTATTTTTAGATCTAACACTGCGTACATGTAATACCCTTTTCAACAAGGAAGAAAATAGGGTTCTGTCGTGTTTAAGATCTATACATAAATCACATTAGTCAACAATTAGGAAGTCTAAGTTACAATTTAAATAGTTGCAATCGATTGTAGTGACGGATCCATAAATATTTTTTAGAGGTAAAGAAGAGAAAAATAGTGGGTAAGTGTGTAATAAAATAATTGTATTAATAAAATTGTTCTCTCCTCTTAAGTTTTCCGGCTAAGTATTAGTTTATTTTATGTTTTTCGGGACTATTCTTAAGCTTTTATTAGGTAGAGAGCAATCCGACTTAATTTTAAAGATCATGTTTGGAAAAATATATAAATTTGGTGTTGCAATCGATCTTTGGGTTTGATAGGCCAAACACCTAAAAATATATTTTAAAATATTTTTAAGAAAATTCATTTTTAAAGATAAAAATATTATCTTTAATGAATAAAATCTACCCTAACATGTTGTCTATACAAATACAAGAAGAAGAAGAAACAAAGCAGAAAATGAGTTCGTATCAATGAGTGTTAGGTATAACTCATAAATATATCAGTAAAGAGGATAGAGGATGGAGCGGATCCCACAGTACGGTACATGATTATTTTTGTAAATATGTACCAGGGTTTATTTATTATAAAAGGAGATGTAACCAAAACCTATGAGACATTGAATGACAAATCTAGCACCGCCTACGGCACCGAGGACGTAAGCACATTGCTGAACCTCGTTAAAATTCTTGTGTTCTTTCCGTTTTCTTTACACGATTTTTTTACAATTGGTATCAGATGTCATGAGCCAAATTTGAAGTTGCGAAATTCGATGGTCAGGGTAACTTCGAATTATGGCAAACAAGGGTGAAGGATCTTTTGGTGCAGCAAGGGATCCTGAAGGCTTTGCGGCCTACAAAGTTAGCGTCGATGGAGGAGGAAGTTTGGGAAGAATTGCAACACCGAGCTGCAGGAACCATACGACTATGTTTGGAGGATGAGGTCATGTATCACGTCATGTATCTGTCATCTCCAGATGAAATTTGGAAGAAGTTGGAAAGTCAGTTTATGTACAAATCCTTAACGACTAAACTGTATCTAAAGCAACGACTGTATGGGCTGAAGATGCAAGATGATCATGATTTGGCGCAACACGTGAATGTCTTCAATCAAATTGTTTCTGATTTGGCTCGGCTTGATGTGAAAATTAAGGATGAAGACAAAGCGATGATTCTATTGTGTTCGTTGCCTCCCTCTTACGAACATATGGTGAATACTCTTACATATAGGAACGAGACTATCAGAGTTGAGGAGATTACTGCAGCCTTATTGGCTCACAACCATCGGAAGTAGAATGCAGGGGAAAGCTCTCAAGCTGATAGCTTATATGTCAAGAGTAATTGAAATCGTGGAAGGAAGCTAGAGAAGGCAGGGTCTGGGAAGCGGAATTTCATATCCAAATCTATAGATAAGAAGGCAATTCACTGTTACAAGTGTAAAGAGGCGGGACATATAAATCGAGACTGTCTGAAGATGAAAAAACAGACTATGAGAAGCGTGATGACTCATCAATTGTACGGGTTGAAACAGTCTCCGAGACAATGGTACAAACGGTTTGACTCCTATATGATCAAGATTGGCTACAAGCGATGTGAGTATGATTGTTGTGTCTAGGTTAAGAGCCTTAATGATGGTTCTTTTATTTTTTTGTTATTGTATGTTGATGATATGTTAATTGCTGTGAAGAACATGGATGATGTTATCGGTTTGAAAACTTTATTGAGTCAGGAATTTGATATGAAAGATTTAGGTACTGTAAAGAAAATTCTTGGAATGAAAATTTACAGGGACAGAGACTCAAGGAAACTGTGGCTATATCAACGGGGTTATGTTGAGAAAATGCTAGAAAGGTTTGTGATGAGCAGCACAAAACCAGTGCTCACTCTATTGGAAAATAACTTTAAGCTTTCATCAGAACAGTGCCCTAAGACAAATAAGGAAGCTGAAGATATGGCAAAGGTTTCGTATTCTAATGTTGTTGGCTGCTTGATGTATGCAATGGTATGTACTCGTCCTGATTTAGCTCATGTTGTTTGTTAAGTTTGTAAGTACATGTCTAAACCTGGTAAGCAACATTGGGAAGCAATCAAGTGGATCTTTAGGTACTTAAAGGGTATTGTGGGACATGGAATTGTTTTTGGTAGTCAGCGGGATAATCCTTTGGTTGTAGGATATGTGGATTCAGACTATGCGAGTGACTTGGATAATAGAAGATCTACGAAAGGGTATGTCTTTACTCTTGGTGGAGGGCCTATTTGTTGGAAGTCTACTGTTCAAGCTATTGTGGCATTATCTACAACTGAAGTTGAACACATGGCAGCGGCTGAAGTTGCAAAACAAGCTTTATGGCTTACTGGTTTAGTGAAGGAGTTGGGTGTTCAACAAGGTGGAGTTCAGTTGCTTTGTGACAATCAAAGTACTATTCACTTGGCTAAGAAGCAGGTATATCGTGCTAGAACTAAGCATATTGATGCAAGGTTTCACAAGATCAGAGAGTTGGTTGCATCTAAAGATATTTTGTTTCAGAAGGTACATACTGATGAGAATGTCGCTGATATGTTCACCAAGCCAGTTACGACAAACAAGTTCATGCATTGCTTGGACTTGTTGAATGTTTCAAGTTGTTAAAGATGTAAGGTAACCCAACCCACATTGAATGTTTCCTAAGGGGCAGAATATTCGCCAAGGTGGAGATTTATTAAGTATGGCTCATAAATATACCAGTAAAGAGGACAGATGATGGAGCATAGTGAGCGAAGCGAACATCATCTGTCCTTAAAAAAGTCTCATAGTGGGGGTTACGATTATGTGGGTTGGGGGTGCGGGGGCACAAGCCCTGCGGTACGGTACATAGTTTTTTTTGTAAATATGTACCAGAGTTTATTTATTATAAAAGGAGATGTAACCAAAACCTATGAGACATTGAATGTCAAATCTAGCACCGCCTAGGGCACTGAGGACGTAAGCACATTGCTGAACCTCGTTAAAATTCTTGTGTTCTTTCCGTTTTCTTTACCTGATTTTTCAACAATGAGATAATCAATAAAGTAGTAAGAACTATCTTTAATCAATAAAATCTACTCTCACATGTTGTCTATCCAAACATGGTTTAATAGGTCATATCCAAACACGATTTTTACCACATTATTTCTCGTTCATAGTTTAAGAACTTAAAAGAAACAAGATGGGAAATAGTTTAGGGCATTTTTTTTAGTTTAAACCTAAAAATATTAATCATGAGTCGCCTAATATATATAGAGACATTTGAACGCTCAACCATTTGTTAGATTTATAATTTTTTTTAATACCACATAAAGATCAAAGCCTTTTACTATCCCACACCGAAGAGTTATGGCTTCCGATGAATACATGATGAAGGTTTCTCCAAGTTTTCAGTTCCTAGCAACTCACAATGAACTGATTACATTTACCTCTCAAATAATCAAAAGGTAAACCATTACCTTGTCGTGACTCAGAGAAGCAAAAGGTGAGCTATTATCTTGCCATGATTACATCCACGACTGCAAAATATATGTTGACGAATATAAGGAGCCGTGGAAAATTTTTAGTTAGGCCACGTCCGAAACCTTTTATGTATTCACCAAGTTGAAGAAGAAGCGCAAGGAAAAAGATTGATTGAGTTGCCAATTCGGGTATTTGGAAAGGTTAAAGAACATATCATGTTATGAATTCAAATAATAATCAAGTTGGGAATAAGAAACTTTTTAGTTCTCAAGTTAAAACATTCCTATGATATCGAAAATTGACATTGGATCATGAATGAGTTTTCTCTTCTAAACGATGATCAATTACATTGTTTACATGATATTGTTGTTTTACTTTGTTAACAAAGATTATTAGTGTTTACACTAAGTTATTTTTTCTATGTGGTTTGTTGATTTTGGTTTATAGGTTGAACAGTTGAAAGTTGGGTGTTATGTTGAATCTACAAGAAAAAGAAAGGAAAAAAACCCTCCGACCATTATGAAGATTTCTCCATTGTTAACCCTCTCAAAAGGACCCTCCCATCGGTTTACTATGCCGACGACGAAACTAGAGAGCTTTCAACGAGCAAGAGATTCTACAATGTGCTTACAAAATGTCGTTGCGCATAGTTATCTACCGTCAACCCTTTCATTACATCTACAACAGCAGCAACGAAACATACTAGGGTCAATGGGAGACGAGGTTTTTCATCCTCATCCTCAATATCATCTTCCAGGGCTCAACTGTGTCGAAGACGAACCTGCAGTGCGTTGGACGAAATCATCAACATCCCAGGGTCATGGCTTGTATTGAGCAGATAATGTAATGGTTTTTTAGTATTAATAAATTATTTGGACACTATTTTTCGCCTTCCGTTGTTCGAGTAGTAGCTTCTGAACTTTGATATAAGGGACGATTTTAACGAGGCTTCTATTTTCCCAAAAAGAACCTTGTTTTAATTTATCCACATTCCATAGATATTCTTAAAATCTTTAGTAATTTTATTGTAATTATAACATTTTCTGGTAATATTTTAATAACCAAGCTTGTTCGTTAATAAAAATGAATTCGTTTAACCATATTTTAATTCAATCAGATAATTTTATTAATAGAATAAACAACTATTAGCAGTAAAATACAAAGAGTTTAAACTCCAACACCAACTAAAACGTCTCACACCCAAGTCTCCAGTTGAAAAGCAAGGCTTAGAATCGATTTATACTACTAGATCCAGCTGAAACTCACACAAAACATAAATTCTGCAAAACGCCTCCAATTCAAACTAGTTGCATCAACATAGTTTAAAGAAATTATCATCTTGGATGGCTTTGGCCTCCCACAATCAAGGGCTGGTAGCTTTCTAGCTAGAAATTTTAAGAGAGTTGTCAATGACCACATGCTGCAATTGGCTAAGTGAGAACCAAGCCTAATTCAGCGACCGGTGTTGATGAGGTTTGTACCAGTTTATTGGCTCTGTCAATCAACCGTCCATTGCAGTCTCTCACCAAAGCTCTAATTCCTGCTACCTTCATCATCTCGTCAAAGGATGCATTAAATTTGACTTAAGTAAATTCTGCGGTGGACAGCTCTAATTCCTGCTACCTTCATATTCTAATATTTTTTTCTTCTGGAATTATAATTCATGTTGATGTCATATTGCGTTCAAAGTTAAAGGATCTGGTTTTTAATAAAGAAGACACCTTCATATTCTAATCTTTTTTTCTTCTGGAATTATAATTCATGTTGATGTCATATTGCGTTCAAAGTTAAAGGATCTGGTTTTTAATAAAGAAGACACTCAACCAGCTTTCATTTAATCTCAAATCTGAACCTGAATGCACAACTTGTTTACAGTTTTCCTACTAGCTAAACAACTGCAGTCCAGTACAAAATTGCAATGAAAGAAATTTGTCATACATGGATTACTGCTACTAGCAAAAGCAATGCTTTTCACCATTATGCTGATTCTTTCAGCAGCTAAGACTAGGAATTTACTTAGGATCATCCCACTGCATATGCTGATCCAATGGCTCTGGACTAGCTGCAAAAGAGTAGAATTTCCTTGACAACATATGTTTTGGAGGAGATGGTTCTTTGATGAGCATCGCAGTCATCTTGTTCCTTTCGGCATACCTTGGGGGACTCATAGGCTGTGACATAATTAAAACCAGTATTCTTAAGAGAATGCATATGCTAAAGTTACGAGACAGCTAAAATGATTTGAATGTTTTACCTCCAATATATTTGACAATGAATATTCCTTTGCAGATGCTGAATGTTTGGAGAAATCTGAACAAAAAGAATGCATACAAAGGTCTGAGTATTCAGTCATCAAATACTTGCGCAAAGTAAACATATGAATGCCTAGCAAATTTCTTTACCATCTAATCCAAGCAATGCTTTTCACCATTATGCTGATTCTTTCAGCAGCTTAAAACTGGGAATGTACTTAGGATCATCCCACTGCATATTTTGATCCAATGGCTCTGGACTAGCTGCAAAAGAGTAGAATTTCCTTGACAACATATGTTTTGGAGGAGATGGTTCTTTTGATGAGCATCGCAGTCATCTTGTTCGTTTCGGCATACCTTGGGGGACTCATAGGCTGTAACATAATTAAAACAAGTATTCTTAAGAGAATGCATATGCTAAAGCTACGAGACAGCTAAAATGATTTGAATGTTTTACCTCCAATATATTTGACAATGAATATTCCTTTGCAGATGCTGAATGTTTGGAGAAATCTGAACAAAAAGAATGCATACAAAGGTGTGAGTATTCAGTCACCAAATACTTACGCAAAGTAAACATATGAATGCCTAGCAAATTTCTTTACCATCTAATCCAAGAATCCGCAAAAAATCATTAGTGCTTATAGCTCTTTTCTGTGTTTTGATGCAATCTTCATGATTGTGCAGACACCCTTCCCCTGCAATATCTTCGAGTTGACATAGATCCTCTTCCGGATTACCCAACTTTGCCTTTTGGTTCTTCTTTGATGTTCCTTGCGAGTATGGCTTACCTGAGTTGGAAATGTCAGAGAGAGCTCTCCTGCCAGTTGCTTGCACTTTCTCAGCTTTATAGACACTCTTTGTTTTGCTTGAATCATGTGTGGGATGAAAGATACCGGTCTATTTCTCAATGAATGGAATGCTTTTAGCATTCTCCTTCTTTGATGACTGGTTTGGGGTTGATTTCACTGAATTGGATAGATCACCAAGTGGTTTTCTTCCACCAATACCAGCTTTCCTCTGTGCTTTAGAGACATTGGTAATGCCTGACAGGAAGCATTTTCCATTATCAAACTCAACTTGAGAAACAAAATTAACAAAACCAACAACAGATCAGAAAGTGTTGAGAATAGTACCATTGAACCGAGCATTTAAATTCTGATTTTGAATCAAACCAACAGTACGTGTTACCATTTTGGAAATTTGCTGATACAATCCACCAAACCAACAGTACCTGTGAGGTTCCAATACATAGGGAATCATTCATATACGTGGGAAAATCAAATCAAACAAGCAATATTGGAGAAAGCATGCTAAATCCTGCAGAAAAATCTGAAGTATCTTTGAAAGGCTCCTTTTACATTAAAGCTTCATCTGAAGCACATGAATCAAGAGTATTACTTAGTTCAAAATGAAAAATGAAATTAAAATCCAAACTCAATTTGCAAAACCCAAAAATCTTTCGGTATCTAAGACAAATGTGGTGAACAGGATTGGAGAAAAACCGAACTAACATGATAATCACAAAGGAAAAGACAAACAAAGAAGCTAGAATAATCATGTTCATACAATTTAAAATGATCCATTTAGTCCTTTCTGTTCTAATGATGATACAGTCGAGGATTTCTTTAAGTTAGTAATTATATTTCCTCTCCGTGTTTTTCATTCACTAAAAGCCCCAAGATCATCAAATCAGCCCCACAAAAGTAAACCCAGAAAGGGAGAAAAGAAACATAGGATACAACAAACTTACAGATCATTCTTGGAAATTTTTTTATTTCCTTTTTTCCATTCGTTTCTCAACAACCACACAGATATTCCTGTTTTCATGTTTTTTCCATGACAAATACTTTAAATCGCCTTTGCATTCTCAGACTAAGTTTGGAAAACATAAAAAGATATAATACTTTGATAAATTTTCTTTCTGATAATACAGATCTTACTTATCTGTTTTCTTCCATTAAAACAAACGAAACATTTCATGAAAAATAACTTCATCAAGAAATTAAACACAAACAAAAACCCGTAAAAAGGGTAAAGATAAGAAACTCACAATGGGTTTTTGCCGAGTCGATGCTTCTTTCTTTTGAATTACTGATTCAGGCGCTTTGCTTTGCCTTTTGGATTTGTTTGTAATCTTTGAAATATATTTCGAAAGAGAGGAATTCCATATCTGCTTATTAGAAGAGTATTTGCAACGGTAACTTTTCCGCTTTTACAAAAATACCCCTCGGTGGGCTTACAATTAAATAAGCTTCGGGTTTCTCAATTGGACCAAATCGCTTTTGCAGAAAAATAAAGATACTTATACCGTTGTTTCGGCTTTTGCCATAGTGATAAATTTAATCCATAATGTTTATTATTTATTTAATTTGACCCTTATTTTTTATCTATTGTGACCTCAGTGGTAAAGAAATTATTGTTATTTATTGAGATATTGGGTTCGAGCACTAAGAATGCTAGGGTTGTGAGTGTTTAATGTCAAATGGTTGAGAGTTATCTTTGAATAGATAATATATTATATTTCCTCTCAGATTAATAAAAAAAAATCCCCACCTAAACATGGGTGTAAATATATAGTTCTAAGCATGCTCTTCTCCTGTATGGGTTTATGTAGAGTACAATGATAGTGGCCAAAAATATAGTTTCATATCTTATTCTTTGAAGTATCTAAAATTTTATATTCTCTAACCAATTATGATTTTTATGTGATCATCGATATCTTCACATGATCTACTAACTTTGACAATTAAGTCTTCATCTTGTTTATAGATAATCGTTATGACTTTACATTTGACACTGATATTAAGAATCAATATAAAATCATTTTGTTAAGATTGAGAGAAAGATTTGGATTCTCCCTTTTTATTCATTTCTCTTATATTCCCTTGCGAACAAAAAACTTTAACACCAATTAATTATCATCTGACTATCGATTGTGATTCTCCATTTCAACTAGAAGAGATGAATCGCTTAAAACCATCGTGACTCATTTGTTCTTATTCAAAGAAGCATCACTCATAACCAACTTTTTTTGGCATTTCCCGGGATTCATGTTGCAAGTAGTTAACGAATATATCAAAAGCGTTCACCTAGTATTGTTCTCCACCACCAACCCGTTTGGGAATCTTATTCTTTCGTAACTATAATTAGTGACGAATGTATGTGTTTTTCTAGGATAGATCTACTTTAAATATGAATTTCTTTAGGTTAGTTATTTATTTTACTGATAGTGTCCGAAAAAGTTATATTATTAATACATACATATTCATCCTAAAAATATTTATTAGTATAAACACGAAGGCATTGCACCTCCTTGAGCATTTATTTTCAAACTAAGGAATACAATAAGAAATAATCAGAATATTTTTATATGTTGATAATATATATACACTTTATAAATGTAAATGTAACTATTTGAATTTAAAATCTCTTAAGAAAATAGTATTTTTTAATACAAAATTTTAAGTTAAAATTTATTATTTAAATTTCATTATTATATGATTCAAAAAGTTTATAATGCAACTAGCTTAGTCAGAGAACTCTCATGATATAATAAAATTTAGGGTAAAGTATAGCAATGATCACTGAACTTTTCTAAATCTTTCATTTAGGTCCCCAACTTTTAAAAAATTACAATACAATCCCCCAATATTTAGTCCGTTTATAATATGGTCCCCCAACATTTAGTCCGTTTGCAATATGGTCCCCGACGTAACTGTTGGGGAACCATATTGCAAACGGACTAAATGTTGGGGACTATATTGCAAGTTTTAAAGTTGGGGGACCTAAATGAAAGCTTTAGAAAAGTTCAATGACCATTACTATACTTTACCCAAATAATAATTATATATGCCAAAATTAACAATTTCGGTTAAGTTGAAGAGGATTAAAGAAGAGTTATAGTTACAATTACAACCACTTTTCGAATATTAAAATGGCAAAATATCAGGATAAAATCATACATCCTTTGCCACGTTGGAGAAGGGAAAAAACACAATGTCCTAACTATAACATAGATTGATCTTCGTTCCCCTTATAGAATGCTCCCGAGATTAGTGATGAAGAGCAGTAGAAGTAAAGCTGCCCACCATCTTCCTACCAATGGGTTTAAACCATTTGCTTTGTTCTTGCAAACCAGCTTGTGATCATGGTAACTGTATACTGCTTGATTCCTGAAATCATCAACAACAAAGCCTTGAATTCACAATTGATCAATCAAAAGGAGATTACACACTACAATATTCAACCACGTAAGTTTATCTCAATATAACTTCGAAAAAGGGTTGTTGAACGGAATAATGATTTCATTGACTTCATTCTCCAAATTATAGGTAAGTTTCGATATAAATTCCGGGAAAAATAACGAACCGAGTTGAGCAGAAGGTGATGACATAATCTGCTCCAGAACAGGTGAAAATACTGGTGGGATCATCATATGCATAACTATAAGAAGTAGGGCATGCAGACTTGAACGTCTTGGAATAATACATAGGTTGACAAGTGGAAGGGTTTCCATGGGTTCCTCTGCAACAATATTCATCTGTGTTGAAGACATCGCATGCGCTTCGGCAAGCGATAACCTTCCCGTTGGCCTTGACAGCGAGCTCAGAAGGGCAATTTCGCCTCAGGTCGGAGTTGCATCCAACAGTGGAGCAATTTCCCTTACCGTTTAACGGTGTGACAGATACGGGCACATTAAATCCATCGACGAGACTGACATCGTAAAAATCAAGAGTAGCGAGCGTAAACTCAGCGAGTGATGCCGGGGTTTTACCGGCAGCTCCGCACTTAAGGGTTTCGCCACAGTCCCTTGTCTGGCATGGACCATTTCCATTGCTGTCGAACTTGCAACTGCTTCGATCCCATATGCTGGAGCGTAAACTCCAGCCAGCCGGGGCGTTGAAGACAACAGATTGGTGTGGTTTCAATTCAATACCTCCACCATTAAAGCTTTCACCGGGGATAATCCCAGGCCAGATAGTTTCCTTGCAGTTGTTTATTATGTTGAAGGTTCTTGCACATTTATAGAGTTGTATCCCTGCCGAAAAGCACTATTGAAATCCGAAAGAACACTTAAATGTAGCCATGTATCATCTAAATAAGAGGGGAGAAATTATGAATTACCTGATGAAAGCAACAGCAGTGTGAATAGAAGAGGTGAAAGCAGATCCATTGGTTAGAAAATTGAGATTACAGTGAGTAGGGAGGAAAGGTAATTCCATGATAAGAGGCTACACGATTATTTTCCTAATCCTTTCCCGCAAGTTTATACAGCTTCCAATCCTTATTGCCACGATATCCGCATCTACGGTCTAGGCTACTCATCATTACATTTTCCATCATTATAAAAATAAGGGTAAAGTATAGTAATGGTCACTGAACTTTTCTAAATCTTTCATTTAGGTCCCTCAACTTTTAAAACTTGCAATATAGTCTCCCAGCATTTAGTCCGTTTTTAATATGGTCCCCGACGTAACTGTTGGGGGACTATATTGCAAACGGACTAAATGTTGGGGGACTGTATTACAAATTTCAAAAGTTGAGTGACCTAAATGAAAGCTTTAGAAAAGTTTAGTGACCATTACTATACTTTACCCTAAAATTTAACTAAATTAAAGTTTACGTGCCTGTATAATTATATATTTGTAATTATGATTTTAAATACCTTTGTGAAATTATCTTGCATTTGTCCCTCGCACAAAAAGGTTTCTCCTCATTTACTCGTTATTTTTATCGTTTAAGATTTTTCTTATAAAATTTATATGTTTTGTTTATAATTTTTTAATCTCCAATTAATATACCGAACCACTATCAATATATAGAGATTACTTGATTCCATCGAAATAATGATAATATTGAAATATGATATTTCATTGTTAGATCACAACACTAGGTCAAACGCTTACTTTTAATCGTCTTTTCTTTTCCGCAACCAGATAATCCTACTCTAAATTGTTGTTTTGGTAAATGCCATGCTCTCGTTTAACCTACTTGTCTACCACTTCAACGAGTGTTGGCTCATAATCACTAGGAGTTACAAAGCCATGAAGGTTCATCACAGTTGCAGCCACGTTGGCGAGTCCACCGTCCAGAACATCGCTCCGAAACCTAACACCGGCTGCCAATCCCCGACCTCCTACTGCAATAGGCACCTAATTCACAATTTCCAAAATATGCATCACCAAATTTAATTCAACATTACACCCACAGAACAAGAAGAAAGATGTTGGAACTTACAGGGTGACAAGTATGAGAGGCGAGTATTTGGAGCTCCCCATTTTTATCATATAGAGGTTCCTCGAACTTACTCCTCTTCACCATGTCCTCCGCGTTGCCATGGTCAGCGGTTACCACAAATATTCCACCAACTCGCTCTATGGCATCAAGGATCATCTGCAGCCCAACAGAGTAAGAAAAACTCTATTAAAAGTTCCGAGTAACTATGAAAGATTGAACTAGAGTCATCACACCTTGACAGCTTCATCAGCAGCCTTGCATCCCACAATTGTAGCCTGGATATCTCCTGTATGTCCCGCCATGTCACCATTTGGTATGTTCACACGTACATGATCGAATTTGCGCCTCAAAATCGCATCTCTAGCCTTCTCCGCGATCTCCAATGCCTTCATCTTTGGTTGAACGTTGAATGTAACGCCAATATCACTAGGAATTTCCACATATTCTTCCAATTCAGGGTTGAAATAGCCAGAGCGATTTCCATTCCACAAGAAAGTGACATTACCAAATTTGGCAGTCTCACTGTTGGTACAGGAACACTTCTTTGTTAAAGTAAGAAACATCAGAGTCATGGATTATAATGACTTGCTCTAAACATACCTGCAGGCGAAAATTCGGATACCGTTGTGCACCAAATATTCACCGGATGTTCTATCAATAAAGGGAGGAGAAACAAGGTAGTGACTTGGAAGCTTCAACTCGCCATCGTACTGAAGCATACCCGCATATCAGATTTTAGGGCATCGTACACGATTGAATTTGTCAAAATCTTGGTATTCGAGTTCCTTAGCCAGCATAACAATTCGATCTGCACGGAAGTTGAAAGTAACAACAGCATCACCATCTACAATTGGACCGACGGCCTTGTTGTTCTCATCAACAAGAACAAAGGGAGGCAAGTACTGATCATTTGCATTTTTCCTCAGTTTCTTTACAGCTTCAACAGCATTTGTGAACTTGTGTGGGGCTTCACCCAGAACTTGACCATCCCATCCTCTTTTCACAACATCCCAATCAATCTGCAAAAGATCATCTCACAAGAGCGAATAAACACCTGGAGTCAAGGGGCCAAAAAAGGTGAATAAAACACCGATTTCTCACCTCGTAAAGGTCCATTGTGACATACATGCGGCCCCCACCAGAATCAATCCGAGCATCAACACCTTTCTCACGTAAATTTGCAAGGTCATTCTCAAGAGTCTCCACAAAGCCTAAACTCGAACCATCTGCAACATCACGACCATCCGTGAGAATGTGAACTCGAATCCTTTTACCACCATGCTCACTAGCTCCCTTCAGTAGCAACTGCATACATTTTGGAAATGAATTATCATGAACATCCAAAAGGTAGGAGCCTTTCCTGAATCACCAAAATTACCTGCAACTGATCATGTCCGGAGTGAACACCGCCATCGCTAAGTAATCCGATCAGGTGCAGAGTTCCCTTTTCAAAAGATTCACTTGTATACTTAAATCCTTCTCCCTCGTAAATTTTACCAGAGGCAAGAGCAAGATCAACAAGCTTGGCCCTGCAGTTACAAATGAATACTATTTGCATTAATAGGGACAGTGTCGGTTCGCACGTACGTACACTCACGCAAAAAAGGTGAGTAAAATCGAGAAAGGAATCATACCCTTGAGCGAAAATGCGTCCAGCACCAAGCGCATTGTGACCAACTTCACTGTTTCCCAATTCATCGTCCGTTGGAAGCCCTACATCGGTTCCATGAGCCCTGATTAATCTCCATTTCTCGGGGGCACCCTGCCAACATGATCAGTTCCATTCAAATTATGGCATACATGATTCTTTTATGAAACAAAAACACTGTAATAACGTCCAAATGGTAATCTACATTCCTCTGCAGCACGTACATACGATGTCAATTGTTAATAAAGATTCTAAGTAAATACTATTTTATAATCACTCTAGACTAATAAAAAAATTCAAAGATATATATAAGATTCTTACATAATGGCATTATGGCATACATGATTCTTTTATGAAACAAAAACAATGTATCCTAAGTTCCCAACCCATATATATATATATATATATATATATATATGAACGCTAATAATATTTATTTATCTTAGTAAAATATATAAAAAATAATTTAATTAAAATTATTAGTATACCAATAAAACTAAATTACTATTATAACCTTATGAATCTATAATTTTATTTTATACTTTAATTTGATTACTTTCTCAATTGAGTTAAATAACACCATATTGAATTAGACACCTCAAAAATATAAAATTCTATCATACTCAATTTAGAAGTAAAAATACGTACATTAGTAAAATTTATTAAAATTTAAAATAATCATATATTAATAATATAAAATAAATTAGTATCGTTATAATCTTGTTTAAAAACTATTATTAGAATATAAATAATAAAATAATTCTAAAATTATTAGTAATAAATATAAATATTATTAAAATATAAATAATAAATTAGTTTTAAATTTTTCATAAAAAAGTTGAGTTTTTAATAGGGATGGATTGACGAGAACGAACACCTTAAAAATTTGAAATTCATTATTTTCTATCGGTAATCTATTTTCATCCCCTTTCCATTCTCAATCTAAAATTTTAGAAGTTCATCCCATAATATAAAATTTGAGGTTAGCGTTAATATAGAAAAATGAATGATTAGAACGTTAATACTTTCTTTGCCCCAATAAAACTGTCATTTATTGACTTTTCAGAAGTCAAATTTACCAAAAATTCTTCAATTTTGTTCATCAATGCAGAACTTTAGAGGGAAAACACCTTGTTAAAACTTGGACCAAATCCTTGCTCTTCGATCCACTTGGGTAGCAATTCTTAATATTGAAACTTCACTTATAAGGTTTGGCTACGAGCTTATCATCACAGAATGTTTAAGGAGTAACAAAACTCAAATTCAAGTCATTAGTCGGGTAAAAATTCTCGAACAAATAATCTCCCACATTACTCGCAGGGTAACTTCCAAAATTGGGACGAATACTGACAATATTCCCTTTTTTTACACCGATTGAGTCATAACATATAAGATACTTTGGTATAATTATTACAAAATGATTATTTGATATCAGAGTTCTGGCTCAGAAGAGTACGAGCATAATCTAGGGGCATTTACAGACCAGACATCCTATGATAGTTGATCGACCGATCTACCAAAAAGGCTCAACTCGACTAAACCTAAGCTCTGATACCACTAAAATAACACCCTCATACTGATACGGGTGATTTGATCTAATCTGAGGTGTCACATTAGGGTCACCGGAGCGACCCAGATAAAAAATCTTGGAAATTTAAATTTTTTATTAATCCATTTAAACTATAAAATAATTCATAGATAAAACACAAGTTCAAAAAATTATTTATTTATTAAAAATAGAATTCAATAATATCCAATAATAAAACAAGTTTCAACCTCAAATATAAAACATAATACAAACTCGAGGCCCTCTAATTTACATGCACCGTATTGCTCAAGCAACGTTGGTGAAACTCCTTGACTGATGTCGATAAAAGCATGTGTTCAAACTCTTTAACTGAAATGCCAAGTAACAGAGTGAGCTATAGAAAACTCAGTAATACAGAACTACCAGATGAATACAATAGGTCATGTATATGGTAAAGTATAGCTTCCCTTAGCGGGACAAACATCATCAAATTCTAGTAGTGATTTTAGATTCCCTTATCTAAGTCTTCAGTTACAAACATGAATTTACGGTCTAAAGGAATTATTTAGAAAGATAGATTTAGAAGATTGAATTAGAAGTGTAGTATGTTCCAACAAAACAGAGAAATATGTATAGATTATTTAAAAACATTAGTAGTTTAAAGCTTATTTTAAAACCAAAATAATACCCTCCAACTGAACATCGATATGCAGTTCCTCATAACTGCATCCATAAGGACTTACCCTAGGCCCATTGAGCGTAGTAGCCAACCTAAGGGATTATATTGGGGCTTGAAAGCCTACCCAAGAGTGTACCTTGGGTCCTAAGAGCCTATCCAAGGGAATACCTTAGGGCCTTAAAGACTACCCAAGGAAATACCTTGGGGCTTCAGAGCCTACCCAAGTGTCACCTTAGGCTCGTAAGGATTTACCAGCTTGATCAGAGCTGAACCTCCACACTCCAGAATCCTACCCAGACAGTATCCCAATAAATCGGTTTATATTGTACTCTAGTAATTTCCATGATCCATAAATCACACATAATTATTTTCTAGTGAAAACATGTATCCATAGAGCACATATCATGTAGTCATAGTTTAGAAACAATAAATCAATACACCAACAAGATAAAATATTGAACATTTAAAATATTCAGTAATTCAGTAACATCAATGAATCACATTTCAGAACAGATAAAACAATCATGTAGCACAACAGGAACACACTAGAGGATCCACTTATTTTTCGAAGGTACTTGGTAATTACCAAGCGGTGAAAACACGAAACTTCTGCAAACTGATTGAATTTTAGAAACGATATCCCTATGAAAAGGAGGTTTGATATCTAATAAATTCATCAGTAATTCAGGCAGTGATTTATCAAGATCATAGTTTTCAGATATATCAACAAGGTATTCAGGAATTATTGCATCAAAATTTATTTAGGATTCAAACATTCCTAAAGTGATTCCATCAATCAAGCTTATAAGGGCATTTATCATTTGATTAATGAGAAATCAATTTAATAAGGGTATGCAACGATTTATAAAATTCCATATTTCAAGCATCTTAACTTGTTTTTAATTCCAATCGCACTGTATAATTCCCAGCAAAGGTGACACTTATCAATTATCTAGGTAGAGAAACTTTACGATTACTCATTTCTTAAAACTGGCTACATCGTATAATCGAACTGATCACTTTTAGAACCATCTTTGGATGAACCATGAGGAGATGAACATGTATTTAAGTAGTATTTATTTACTTCACGTATGGTAATAGTATTAAGGATGATTGACCTACTTAGGTCGTACTCTAAAAACCTCAGGGGCGTTACAACATTTTAAGCTTCACCATTATCGTCAGAAGTTATCCAAAGGCATTTACTTAATCCAAGTCATAAGGGTATTTAGATAATTCTGGTATTCGAGGTAGATTTATTCATTCTATAGCTTAAGGGTATTCAGTTATTCTAGGGCTTGGGGTTATTTTATGTTATTTCAAAATTTAAGGGTATTTCAATCATTTCCTTTCGTCCAATCTTCCATTTAATTCAAACTTATCATTTATTTCAATAATTTCAAACAATTTTGACAATAGAGTATTTTTGATAAGTTAGCCTTTGGGTGTATGCTCATAAATTATAAATTATGGGTCTAGTGCCTTCTTAGAGGTTACAGACTGTTTATCAGAATTTTTTCGTACAAAATAGGAACTTAATAGTTAAATCAGTAATTTATCGGATTAGATATGAATTCTCAGGGTACTTTCTCAATCAGGTTCAATCCATGCTATTTTTACCTCTAAAGGGTAATTCTATAATTTCTAATCTAGGTATTTTCGGTGTTTCAATTTTTAACAAAAGTAATCAAATTTCAAGGGTTATGAGGATAAATGCTTCAATGGTTAATCACGAAACTTCAAATTGTTCCTTATAACTCTTATAATTTCTTATACAATCCATCAAATTTTTATTCAATTACTTACTTTTTACCGTATTCGAATCGAGTTTAGAAATTATTAACTATACAGATGAGACGAGAAATATTCATCCATGCACTTAGAAATACCAATATGTCCGTAAATCATGCATAGGGTAGTAAAGTATTACATAAATGCTTGAGCTACACCGGTCAAACATTCAAACTCTATTCGATCTATCTCAAACTTGAATCCAACGTCCAATAATATCTCGGATATATATTAATAGAAATTACTTCAGAAACGAAGCTTAATTACAAAAAAATGATTGAACCAAGAGGTTAATCAGTGAAAAATAACTTATCGGGTTCAAATTTGGAGAAACTGACCTAAAAAATGAACTTAGGACGTCAAAAAGCATCATGATAGGTGTTCCTAGAAAAAGTCAATGTTCGATCAACGGATGGTCAACGGTCAGTCAACACCCATTCAACGCCCGATCAATTCCAGATCAATGCCCAATAAAAACCTGGCCAACTTTTCGGCTCAGCTTGACGTAGTCCAGCTCAACTCAAACAGCTTGGTCTGGACTGACCAACCGGTTCAGACCAGTTCAACTGGTTTAGACCGATTTAGCTGGTCTACAAACCCCCTGAATGACAGACGACTCCCACGCACAGGGAGCAGCGCTTGTGGTGGCTCCGATCGTCGGACGATAATGAAAATTTCTAGATCGATAGATCATTGGCCCGAGAGTCTAGTGTAAGCGTTGTTTCACGGTGAGCAATAGAAGATATCGAAAGAAAGATTTTTCAAACGATCGAACTCCTCTCTTCGATCTCTTCCACAACGGCAGCGACGGTGACTCCATCAGAATTCGAAGAAGCATAACAATTAGATGGTTCACCTTGTGTGGGAAGTGAGGCTCATCGACGGTTGGACGATAACGAAACGACAAAAAATAATAGCGACTATTTGGGTTTTTTGTTGCACTATCGAGTGGCGATTTGCAACGAATGGTATCGGTGTTCGGTACAATGGTGCTCGGGTTTTGGTCACAGGTCAAGAACGATTCAAACGAGGGTGGTGGCAGGTTGAACGATGGTCAGACGATGGAGAATTTGGGATGTGACGGGGAAG